GCCACAGTTTTTTTTATTGCTTTAAAATTTTCTATGAAAATAAACAATTACATTGATCGTAGACAATGACGCAAGTAAACTTATTTCTTTTTACATAATATAAAACATATATAATAATTCAATTTTAGTTTTTAGTTTTAATCACAATTTTAATTTTAATTTTGATTTTCAGTCTGATTTTATTATAAATAATTCAATGCCTCAATAGTTTTTTACAAAGCAATAGTTTAAGGAAAAAATAAATTTAGAGTTTCAAGATTTGATCCACTTTTTGCTAGTTTCATTTTTAGAAAGATTCAATAAATAATTTATAAATTGAAAAAAAAAAAATTCATATTTTTGTATTTGTAACGCAAAAATAACAGCATAATAGTAAGCATAATACTAAGGATAAAAGTTGTAAGAATGATAAATATATACTTAAATATGAGTTTAGACAAGTTTTTGCTGCTACTTTTTTTCATAAAAAATTTTGAAGTAGCTGTTATTTTCGGTCCCTGTTTATTTAAGAAGATGTTGCGACTGTGATACATTGAAATTGAAGCAATACTTAACTTTACAAGTCCAAACATAGAAGATGGTACAGTTGTTGTTGTATAAAGGACAATGCTCTAATATTAAAATGGCCGCTTTAGGCATTTCAAATAAATATAAAGGATCGTATATTTCGTTAACGAGACTATCGCAACTTTTTCCATGCGATGAGTAATCTACTTTTAATGACCAGCAACTATTATGTAGTCATTCAAGAGCCTATTCTAAGACATAACGTCAGGACACAAACCAGGACAAAATACCTCACAAACGATTGGGATCAGATTTGAGTTAATTCCTATTATTTTGCTGATATTGGGGGACCCAGAGAACGTAAAAACACTTGGGGTTTCATAAAAATATCAACAGAGGAATGGAAAATCATTGTGCATTATAAATTTATTCTATATCGAACTAAAATAGAACTATAGCCACCAAGCAATTATGTTCCAATTATGTTTTATTTTAACTACTTATTTTAAACACACACGAATTATTGCAGAACCAAAATTTGTTGAAACAAATCCAGATGGTGCCATACTGGTTATATATAGCTATCAAACCAAACTGATACGCAGACATGCGGGTAGATGATCCTAAAAAAATTGAAGAACCATAAAAAAATAATGATAAACCATCAAAAATACTGAAATCTCCACCAATATTAATTGATAAGATACATTGCTTCAAGCCTCTTATAAATGTACTACATGAACATGCACCTAATCAGTTCAATTTGAAAGTGCTAAATCCAAATCAAGCAAGGGTTCAAATTTCTATATCTGAATTTTACGTAAGGATTGTAAAGCAGTTAGAGCTCAAAAATACATAATTCTACACTTACAAACCAACAACTGAGCGTAGCTTTAGAGTTATATTGTAAAATTTGCAGCATTCAATCGATATTGATGATATCAAAAATACGCTCGTGGATCAAGCTGTAAATGTTTGGAACATTAAACGTAGAGAGTCATAAGAACCTCTCCTCGTCCCATGTTCATTATAGAACTGCTCTAAACTTTAACTATAAAGATATTTACTCGATTATCAAACTTTTGTACACTAATGTAATATTCGAACCACCTCACCCAGAACGCGAAATTCCTCAATGTGAGACCTGTCAGCAATATAGACATACAAAAGGATACTGTCAAGATTTTAATGCCAAAGACTTGACATGGAGCTCCCGCCTAATGTCTTCAAAAATACGACAACTTTTCGAGTAAATTAATTTTTTACTTAAATTAATCACTGGACAATGAATAGAAGAAAATTACCTGACTTAATTGATTTTGCAGTATCGAGAAGGATATGTACCAAACAAACTACCTGCAATTCTAATGAACTTCTCATCTGACCACACGTAAATAATTATTATCCTTAAAGACTCTTGCCCAATTATTCTTTAAAAATGTATTCTTCATAACCAAAATACTGAGTGGATCAGTTATCGGTAGCTAATTGCAGTTGGTGTAAATACTGAAGTTTGGTTGGTAACTGAATCTGATGTTGCTGAAGCAGTAGAACATTTCAACTAATGGGTCCAAATGTCAGCCTAGGAACCAACTCCACCGTTTTCTAAAATTAGTTAGTAAGAACAACCTTTTAACATTCGACACCTAATCAAAGAAAAGTGTGATTTGAAAAAACTTTGGTAGTAATTGTAAAGTTTACAATTTATTCAAATTCGTTAAATTCTTATACCTCCAAAGGTATAAACAAGAAAGTATTCTAAAAGGAAGTTATGGACGAAATAGCGAAGTTAAAAGTAAAAAAAGACTCCAGGCTACAATTTAAGCACAGACATGGCTCTGCAGCAGCTACTACGAAAAGGATTTGTATTTCTTACTCATTTACTTAACGTCGTATTAACAAAGGAGTTTGTTCCGCCACAGTAGGAGATAGCGCAAATCTACATGATATTCAAACCAGGGAAAATCCCAATAAATGTCAAATCATATCGCCCAATAAGTTTACTTCCGATCCTATCGAGAGTTATGGAAATCTTGTTCCTAAAGCCTTACATTTATTCAACAAAACAGATTCATCCCTGACCATCAATTCAGATTTTGGCAAAAAAATAACACAATAGCACGAATTCATAGACTTGTTAAACATATTCATAGCGCGATAGATGGTAAGAAATGTTGCACTGCGATATTTATAAATATTTTACAAACATTTGATAAAGTATGGAATGAGGGCCTTCTATTCAAACAACTGAATCTACCCCTAAATTTTTTCATCGTTATGTTAAATTTTTTGATCGTTATTATTAAAATATACCTCTTGGCAAGGCATTTTTTCATTAAACGTCAAACTACAGAACTTCATGATATGAGAGCAGGAGTAGCTTAAGGTAGCATAATGAAATCAATACTTTATCTTTTATATACTGTGGTCCAGCTGTTTTATCAGTTGACACTCTAGTTTGTTAATAATGTTCCCCTCTGAATAAAAATTTGTCTATCAAATGAAATGAAACAAAATCCATCTAGGTAACATCTACTACTATAAAACGTTTTACCTGCCCGGCTGTTTTAATCAACAATACCCAATTACCGCAAGCTGTAGAAACTTGTAAAACGTTCTACCTGCCCGGCTGTTTTAATAAACAATACCCAATTACCGCAAGCTGTAGAAATATTTGGGAATACATCTGGATACTCAACTGACCTGGAGAACACATATATTCAAATAGGGTAAAGGTCCTCAGTCGAAATTATAAACTGTCACTCGAGAATAAGCTGCTAATATACAAAACTGGGTTTTATTAGAGTAGCGATGGAGTTCAATTATGGGGTACTGCAGCAAACTCAAATCTGGCAAGTATCTAGCGGTTCCAATCTAAAACACTTCGCATGATCACAAATGCACTTATCTGCTCAAAAAGTACCCTGATTTTGTAAATAAAACACACAAATTTAAATTTTACTCCAAATTTATTTTATCTCCTTCAAAATATGCTCATTCTGAAGCGATACACAAAATGCCAACGCTTAACCCAATCTTCCATACACTTTTCGTAGGCCCGTGCAGGTATGGTTTTTAGTCCTTTTAGCGAATTTTCTTTTACCGATTCAATCGACTCAAAACGCTTACCACGAAGGGGCAATTTGAGTTTCGGGAACAGAAAAAAGTCGCACGGCGCCAGATCTGGCGAATATGGTGCCTGAGCGATGACAATGGTGCCGTGTTTGGTCAAAAAATCGCGTACAACAAGAATCGTGTGCGATGGAGCACTGTCGTGGTGAAGAATGCAATTGTTGGCTTTCCATAAATCTGGTCTTTTCTTACGGATGGACTTATGCAAATGCCGCATTGCCGCATAACGCCGAGGTAATATTCTTTATTCATGGTATGACCCTCTGGCAAAAATTCGTAATGAACAACACCGCGGTAGTCGAACAGTGAGCATAACTTTAATTTTCGAGCGACTTTTGCGCGGTTTTTTGGGTTTTGGGTCGATTTCGAAGCGCCATTCGCTCGTATTTACTGGTTTCGACTTCATACTCATAAACCCATGTCTCATCACCTGTTATGATGCGTTTCATGAATGTAGAGTCGTTTCCATACTCAAAAATCATTTCTTCACACACGTTCCTTCGGTATTCATCGGGCATAGTTCATACACGCCTTTCTTTTTTTTGCTCGTAGTAAACATTACTTATTGTCATTCATATTTGACATAATACAATCAAATAAATGGATTAAAAAAAAAGAAAAAAGACAAAATTGGAACTGCAACAAAGCAGATTCATGTTACACAATTTCTACTTTGTTTTACTGTTGACCTGACATTAATGATATCAAATTCTCAACATACATAATCCGAAATCACAAATGTACTCACAGATACACATCATGGCAAAATAAAGTAGATTTGTAAACTCAAACAATTCCTTCCAATATCACGAATAT